TGTGTGTGTGTGTGTGTGTGTGTGTGTGTGTGTGTGTGTGTGTGTGTGTGTGTGTGTATGTGTTTGTGTGTGTGTGTGCCGGACTTGCAGCGTTGATCAATTGGACGATCAAGCGAGACAGCATAGAAACCAAAGCAGCAGAAAATTGACGGAAACAATACGAAAATGAGGGGTTTAGTGACTTAGCAGCAGCAGCAGCAGTAGTCACGGTGGCGTGCCCATCTGAAAGCCTGAGCCTGAGCTTCCGACTTTCACGATGCAGAGCCAAATCAACGTCTAACCTCTAGATGCACAGCCGGACCTCCACTGTGCAAAAGAACTTAGCTACGATAAATGCTCTTGAGCTTCGCCCCAAGCTGTAGTGCGTGTGTTCGCGTGCATGGGTGTATATGTGCGAATGTGTGTTCTGGTTGGCTACGTGTGTGTGTGTCTATCACAGCACAAAGTATAGCACAGTACACCATAGCGGTTGTATGTGTGTGTGTTGTGTGTGTTGTCATGTTCCCTATAGACAACTCCATGAAGCAAAAAAAAGCACGACTGTGCCAGACTGTTTCGAACTTTCACTGACTCATCAGCCGGTTGTCTGGAGTACCACGGAAGTATAGAGGAGCAAAGTTGAAGTCGAGTGTGGCAGAGCGTATAATAGAGTAGCGAAGTCAACCTTCTCGCCAGACACGGAACGGAGTGTGGGGGCAGTCGTCATCCAGCACCGCTCTCCTACAATTTTTTGAAAAGGTTGTAAGCGTGCTCCCTCAACTCTGCCGTAGCGGCCCAGTGGACTCCCCCTAAGCTTGCCCATACGCGGAATTGGTGCAGGGTACCAGCCTGGAAATTGGTCGTGCAGTGTGCACCACATGGTGTTGTATGGCCTGGCCGAGAGTGGTACCGTCCCAGTGCCACCAGGGTACCGGCCCAATGGTGCAATAGAGCAATCCGGACCATCAGATTTTTACTCAAACAACGGTCTAGACTGAATGCCGACAACATAAAAAACGATCAGTGCCCCCTAGCGACCGTTGGGTAACAACGAAACAAAGGGCCCAGCTCGTGACTTGATCACACAGGCTGCAGATCATGAGTTGGTCACAGGCCGCAGATCGTGAGTTGATCACAGGCTGCAAAATACCTGACCGCAGATCGTGAGTTGATCACAGGCCGCAAAATACCGATTGTCATAGTGTAGTTAAGTTAAACTGTTTAAGTCATAGCCCAAACCACAGCAAGAGTTCAGATTCAGCCTAAAGAATCCCATACAGTGTATAACAGACCCCCAATAAGCATGGCACACTGTTTTTTTGACTGGCTGTTCAGATTTTGATGCTGGCCCTACAACTGTCAAGCACCAAAACTCATGCCATCACAGCCAGGTCATGACATCGGTGGCCCAAGCAGGAAAGGATAACGACAATCATGGCCAAGCCTGTCAAATGAATGGATTGCCCAGCACACTTACCATTTCCGTTACCATTCTTGCTGCGTCCTTCTCCAGTCCCGTCTTTCTCAATACCAGTGCCATCATCTGAGCAAAGCTTCACCAAATCTGCAAGTGCACCCTTCAGATGCAGGTCAAGAAGCTCATTGGCGAACCCAACCTCTTCAGGGCAGGGGATATGCCATTTTAACTTCATCCCCGGAGGTGGCCTTTTATTTCCTTTTGTCCCAATCCAACGGTCCACGCCACTGGCGCCTTGTAACGATACCCTTTCTCTGCGCACGAGTCAATGCCAAAAGAGAAAGTATAACTGTGAGACCATCTGCGTGATCAATGTCAACGCAAGTTCTTGACGCCCGCCCACATGAAAGACAAGTCAAGATAGACTGTTATTGCCATTCGAGGTCCATTTCCACACTCGCAGATGGCTGGTTTGATGAAGTTGGCAGGATGAATAGATATAAACAGCTACCAAGTAATGATCGCTCACTTTCAAGCTTCAAAGTTCTATCATCAGCCACTGCACTCAGTACCATCCAACAAAAATCGCCATGAACCCTGTGTTTCGTGAGATGCATTCTTATCAAAAGCGGAAAAAGCAAGCTGTAAGGGGACAACTGTTCCAAAATTGTGGTAAGGCTAATATAACTGTAAGGAGCAAGAAGGGAGGAAGTGCAATGACCCACGGCGTTTTCAACTGGTGATGTCTTCAAGTTTCAGCCTGACAGCCGCACTTTGCCATACATTTTATGATTATAGAAATCTGCACCTTCCTGATTTTTTAGCACGCTTTTGGCTGTAGATGTGAATGCTTTGGGGTCATGTGAAGTTGTGGATACTAAGTTGGTTGTCCCCATGTGCCAGTCCGTGTATCAGCGAGGGCTATCCCTAAACATCAAGCCCTGATGCTGGAGTGGGGAGAGGCAGAACGAGCCAGCAATATCCTGGCTACGGCAGATGACCCTCCAGGGTACGATAGTATGTGTCTTATATCCATAGATGAGGTTGGGTTGAGAGGTGCTGCACTTGTCTATGTGTTCTGCACAGACCAGTTTGGTCATCAGTCCCTTGGTATTTCAGGGACTGTACGTGGGTTCAAACCTCAGGTCCAACAGGAAAACTGTGTGTGTGTACGTCTTGTAATTTGTAAGATAGTAAAATCAAACACCAAATCACCCAAAACCCACACCAAGTCTGAACAGCGAAGGGTCGCCAACTTTACATGCCTGCATGTGTCCATGTCTGTGACCCGTTTTCACCAGGGTGCAAACTCATGTTCCGGCTTTCTCTTCATTCATGGGAACTTTTCTCTCTCTCACGGGGGTGCCGTGTCAGGGCCCCCAATTTTCGGCTGCCCCCCCCAGCTTTACTGCCACTGATGAAAACACATCACCTCATATGCAATGATTACAAACATGCACACCACCCAATGAAAACACATCCTGCATGCTGCTGTAACTTCGGCAAAAACCATACGTGATGGACAAATATGATCAGGAACAAGGACTGCCTAGCTATAACGACAACATACCGCAATATCAAACAGCCTACAACCAAAAGGAGGGAAGAAAATCAACACGCAGAAAGGCGAACGAGGCCAGCTTGAGAAAGGTCAATACAAAAAATCAGGTACTCGAAGGGTTGTACTCACTTGACCTCATCAAGAGGAAAGTAATGGATCAAACTCCCAAGCAGAGAGCTTAACACCCATTTTCCCCCACCACAAATCTGCATTCACCACAGCATATTTAGAAAACAAGTCAACATGCATTCTCCAACTTTTTTGTGATAACTTGCACCGGTCCTCCAGGTTCATGGCCTTCTTGGTATTCAGGCATCAAGAGGAGACACGAGACGAACTTACACAAATTCAAGAAGAAATTACCGGAGACAACGGACAGTCCTTCAGCATTGGGCTCTCAATTACTCCATATATTGTAAACCAACAGGACAAGCAAAACGTTCACCAAAACATGCAGAGACTCTCTTGGGGTAGTTCGGGAGAAGGTGAATTATGGTAGGAAACAGATATTTACATCAACATAAAAGATTTGATTGTCCAGTATCTCACTATCTGAAAGCAGGCAGGTCATCACAGGTCAATTGCTTCAACTGAGGAAGCTGCATATTCCAAACCAAACAATCAGCGCCGCATCGACATGCGTCCCTTGGGTTTGGGCCCAAACCCTCTACCTCTGCCTGGAATATCTCACTCGCACTGACATTGCAAACACAATCCACGGCACACTTGACTGATTTTCAGACTCACCACCATGCATAAGCTACAGCCATACCCTTAAGAGACTGGTCGACTTCACTCGTGCCAACCCCACAATCCGTGCAGACTGCCTCGCTCAGTGATGCATGCTCATCTGAAGATGAGCGGTGCAGATGTCCAAGGAGCGCCAGTGTGATGAACAGGACTTGAAACAGAACGAGTCTGAAGATGAGCGGTGCAGATGTCCAAGGAGCGCCAGTGTGATGAACAGGACTTGAAACAGAACGAGATAATGCAATGTAGCGCAGCGGAAGACTCAAAGATATGACTTGACACATCAGATCCAGACTCGACTGACACACGTCACACAGGAAGGAGGGAAATCATACACACAAGAAAGATCCCTCCTTGCGCACACACATGGGAAGAAACCACGGATGCTGAAGAGGGAGGAGAGACGAAGATGGAGAGGGGAATTAGGACAAGAGTAGAACTCGTAGTCGTCCAAGAAATAGCCTCTCCGTCAAATGTCCAACCAATGTCTGTCCTCAAAAATGTCGAATCAGATCCTGGGCTCCAAGGCCCGAAATAGTCACTGCCTGAAATCTCCCTCTCTCTCTCTCTCTGAAGAGGAAGAAGAAAGAGAGGGAGGAGGAGGAGAAGAAGAAGAACAGTGGCTATGGAGGAGTGGAGACGAATCAGGAGAAGGAGAAGAAGAAGAACAGTGGCTATGGAGGAGTGGAGACGAATCAGGAGAAGGAGAAGAAGAAGAAGAATTATCCTCTCTCGCGCGCTCCTGATGACGATGCCATGAATACTGACCAGCGAAGGTGACGACTTCCGATGCAGGTAGCTGCTGAAGGCCGGTCCCATGACCAGTATGAAGTCCCAGCTATGGCGCCCAGGTAAGTCTCTCTCTCCCTCCTGGACATGGCCTCCGCCAAACCACTCCACTCCAGCCTACTCCTCTAATCCTCCAGCGCTGCTCTATAGCAGCTCTCCCCAAACTAGCGCTGCTCCAGCAGCGTGACACCCAAAGGAGGCTCCAGGCCGAATGTCCTCAAAGTGGACTGAAGAAACTAGTTTTTCGAGAGTCTGTAGATCTCAATCCAAGAGTCAAACAAGAATGAATACCACATATAAGAGTAAAAACTAGACTTCCTACTACTATAGTCAAACAATTGACTGTTGAATATTGAAAATGATATATACCGCTGGGCCTGGCTGAGCAGTCCTCGGTCTGTGATCAGGACCGTCAGATCTGATGTCCAATCGATGGTCCTGATCGCAGGCCCCAGTCCTGGTCCTACAATTCTGGCCAAAAAACAGCCCGCCTGGGTCCCTACCGGACGTCCAGGCAATCCTGCTGATGCAGCAAGGTCCTGAGGACTGGGCTAGGCACAAACAGACAAATGCCTGGTCCAGTCCCACATACGGACAAATCTCAACATGGCCTAAAACAGCCGAAACTGAATCACACAGCAAAAATAATAAATGCTGGGGGCCTGGCCTGAAATATGGCCGTCGGCCTCCAGATCGCTCACCAACAATGGGTGCGCGGCCTGGGGCCCTGGAACAACCATCGGGCCCCAAAACAGGGACCATGTAGTGGCCTCAGCATGCTACACTCAGAATCCTAACAAAAACAACCCTAACTTCCCATAACACAAAAGGAACATAGCTTCAGAAAAACTGGGGCATCACAGCCATAAACCCACAATGTTGGATGCTTTCCTCGGCGCTCTCTTAGTCACTTCAACAAGCTGCTGATCACACATAGACATGGCTTTTCCTCCCCCGCCTCCACTTGATGTGTTCTTCGCTCAACCAAAGCTGGATGTCCAGCTATGCTGCGTGTTTGCTCCAGCCTATCCATGCCAATGCAAGGATTTTAAACACTCGGCTGCATGGGGGGACCATTCCGAGCCTTGAGTGCAAATGAACGGTCCACAGATCTCATGTTCTCTCTTTCTCGTTGCTGCATGGTATGGTCACCACACCTAGAGCTACCTCCTACTCCACTATCTCCTCCTTACCCCCTTTCTCCTCATCCCCCGCCATCCCCTCCCCGTCCCCCTCCCTCAACCCCCTCCTCCTCCACGACCTTCTCTTCTTCCGTTGTGTTCTCCTCCGCCATCTCCCCCCCCCTTTCTCCTCCCCCTCCTCCAGCATGCCATTCTCCTCTTGGGTGGCATTATTGGGCACAACTGGGCCTTTGACACAGCTAGGCGGCACCATGCAGGCTGGGCGGTATTACGAGGCCTGGGTGATACCGTGTGGATTGGGTAACACCATGTGGATCAGGCAGTACTTGATGACACAGACATGCACACAGCCAAAAAAAAGTACTCAGCCCAGGGTTGCATACCTGCCAACAGCTGACCCCAACCGCGGACCGTTTTGCAACCGACCAGTAGGGCCAACCAGTCGCGTACGGCCAACCAGTCAGTAAACAGCCATCCA